GCAGGGAAAAGCTGCCTTCTGCAGAATCTGGCTCACAGGTGGGTGCCTCTCGAGCCCCCGTTTTCTGAAAACTAGTAGTTTTCCACTATGAGGCAGGGAATGTATGAAACCCACAAAACTCACTCTAAAAGAGGCTTATCAGAGTTAAAAAAAAAAAACAAGAAAAAGGTCTAAATTCCCTTCTAGCCAAATCACGCTGCTCCCACTTTGTGGTCCTTGGACTCCACAAAAGGCCTTGGCCACCACAAGGTTGCCCACCCCTCGCCTAGTCCTTACTGTTGACCCTGACGGACCAGAAGGGGCTTCCTCCAGGGTTTCCAGCAGGGGCAGCTTTGGGCCTTCCTGGCGGCGGTGGGCACAGCACCTGGGCCCCAGACCAAAGGAACTCGTCCTGCCTGCTGGGACAAGCAGAAGCTGGGCCTCCAGAGGATGCAGCTTCACTAAGCCACGTTTGCTGCGCTGGTGGCATCAGACAGAAGTGCTGCCCGCTCCAAACTTAGACAGCACACTGATAACGTCCCCCTTGTTTGCCACCCTGTTAAGCCACTTCTTACATTTCATGCTGGGGTTAGTACTGATTAGTTAAACGGGGCAGGGAAGGAGGTGCAAGGTGGGAAGCAAGATTTCTGCCCCTGAATTGGTGCCTCAAAAACATGCTCAGTAGAGGTCAACTGAAGCCTGAGATGGCCCTGCTGGTGAAACTGATTTGCTTCTCTGGCATAGCTTTTTTTCTGGACAACGGTGGTACGGCCTTTCCCACTCTAGAAAAAAAAGCATCTCTTTGCTCACTGCTAAAAATAATCTATTTTTGTCTCAGTTGCCTAACATAGCCTCTGGTATTCTGACTCTATTTTATGCTAAACAAAATGATGACAGATAAGACTAATTAATGAAATAAGCAGTTCCAGCCAGCTATTATGGCAACATTTGTCTTCAAATACATTGTGCCAAGAAAACATACCCCTCATACATCAAACGTTGGCTCTAACGATAACATCGGAATTCAAGGTAGCTATTTTTAAGGTTCTCAAGCGGCAGAAACCAAATGTGTACGCTCGGGGGGGGGGGAACCTGTGTACGCCAACCGCTAGGGAACCATTTGCAAAAAGAAAAACTATCTCAGGATGGCTTGCTGTGAGCCAATGATGGGTCTGAAAAAACAGTCCTTGAGGCCAGTTTAGAAGCAAAGGAAGCCGTGGAGAGAGGAAAAGGTCTGGCACTAGGAAGAGAGATTCAGTTCTGGACCATCAGTTTTGCAGCACTGCTTGTACAGATAAGGCTTCGAATTCTAAAAACTCCTAGAAATGGGATGCTCGACTGAAGAATTAATTACAGCGGCTTCAGTTCAGACTTCCATGGAGCACAGCACCTGCGGGCTGAAACATGAGAAGAACAGAGGCTCCGCCAGAAGCCTTCTGCACACAAAGCAGGGAAGGGAAAACTCTCGCCAAAACTCGGCCATCAACAGAATGGATTTAAGAACCACAAGCCGTGGTTTGTTATATAAAAGGACCAGAAACATCAGACAGCCATCTCAAAACCTGGAAAGTGAACAACATGGCGTACCAAGATGGGAAATGGCATGGCATTTTCAGGGATTACTCCTCACCGTTTTTAGGAAGTGCCACCTCTTCGATGTTGGGCACTGGGGTTGGATCCTCCATGTCCTTGGTAAGATCGTCCTGGTCATCCTCTTCCTTTTGCCCCCGCCTTTTCCCATAGAGGCTTGTTTGTCTGGGAAAGACAGAAGCACAAAGGAGCCCCTTTGCTGACAGTTCTCTGTGCTGGGGATATGCTCTGGGCTATCGTGGCTCTGCATTTCAGCTCAGAAGCAAAGACCTGACAGTCGCAGGGCACCCAAGGCTGGCAGCCGCCACGTGTTTTGCAACCTATTACAGTAAAAGGCAGCTTCAGATGTCTCACACTGATTCAGCAAGTGATTCAGAAGCCACCTTCTCCAACCTGTATTCAGCTCTTAAGATCCATTCAGAAGGGGAGTCAGACCAAACAATGGGGAAGCATCAGGTTGAGGATACTGACGCAGAACAGCCCACATAAAGATCGTTTTCATCCACACACGCATGGAATACCGATACCGGCGTTTCTAAACATTATGCGCAAAGCTCAATGTGTCTTTCATGGCTTTTTCTACATGAGTGCTTCCACAGGAATGGAATGGAGAATGTGGAAAAGGGGGTGATAGCCAAACATAACCAGGTGTATGGGGATGATTAAAATAATGGGTTATACTGTATATGAAAAGTTATGAACAAATGAAAAAGTAGTTCCGGTTCAGTGGTCAGCAGGTGGTCTCTTTCTCTCTCTCTAATCTAGTGTCATGTTTATTTTCAATGTTCAACGGTGAGCTACTCTTATTAGTTGCTCTGTGAACACCAAATGGCTTTGAAATGAGCTCTAAGGCAGTAGGTTGGTTTTCTCACTGGGTGGGAACGGGACCTCGTGTTCACGCTTTTGGAGACACCCAGTGCAGGCATCTCCCGTCGCCTTGGTACACCGATGGAAATGTTTCTTCCAAGATGAGCCCGGGCACATGTTTGTATCACCAAGTGTACTTAACAGAGAGTTATCCTCTGCTTCAGAAGTGAATCAATTTGCTAATGAATTTAGTAAAAGCACTGCTTTGCCTTACAACAGCACAAAACTCTGCAGAATGTTTCCTCCTTGTCGTTTCTTGGTGCCTTCCAGCAGGAATCCTGCCAATACTGTACTTCTCATGCAACTCCTGCTTAATGGTGGTTTAAGCAGAAAAATACCTTCTAGCAATCTGATCCTCTGGGAGCACCCCAGCCTTCTCTCTGCTCTTCGGGGGCTTGCTGGGACACATCTGCAGAAGCTGTGTTCCACAGGATGTCTTGATGTAAAGAGAGACTTACACCGGTCCAGAATGTGTCACAGCAACATTGAGGACCTGGAGAACATCTCTTCTCTTGGATATCCACTCCTAACAATCATATGCAAGATACATCTTCACTTTTACAGTTCCAGGATCGAAGGGAGTGGTTTATTCAAATATAATCCTGACCTTGCTGGTTTCTGGAAGGACCTGAAGACAGGGCTTTGCCATTTGGCCTGGGGATCTGGTGGTGGTGGTGGAAAGCCTGCAAAATGGCTACACTGATAGTGAGATTGATTGTGCTCTCCCACAGATTAGTGTTTTTTTATGGTTTTAATAGTTTTTCTTGTTTTAATGGTCTTTTTTAGACCTTTCTATCCCACCTTTATTATTTTTATAAAGAACTCAAGGCGGCAAACATACCTAATATTCCTTCCTCCACAGCAACAACCCTGTGGGGTGAGTTGGGCTGAGAGAGGCTGTTGTTATGATTTTGGTTATTTTTGTATTGTTTTTTGTGTTTTCGACCCTGTAAGCCGCTCAGAGTCATGTATGTGAGACGGGCAGCTATATAAATCTAAAAAACAAACTAAAAAAACCCCATCCACTCTGAAAGGAAGGTGTCACCACTAACTCTGAGAGGTTTTTCCTACAGCCCACAGGCTGCTAGGGCCCCTTCTGTGGCCCCTCCAGGGTGGGCCAGGCCAAAACATTTTAAAGGTCTTGGGCAGTTTCAGGGGCAAAATAGGCCCCTCAAATCTTGCAAAGGCTTGAGAAGCTGCTACGTAATTTTGCCCCGTACGACCACACGAGTTTCAGCTGAATTCCTAAAAAGTCAGCTTCAGTCAGGATCGCCTCTGCCACAGAGAAAAAGGAATGTGCTTATTAATGGACTTGTTCTGCTTATCAGCCGAGACTGGAGGGAATGAGCACCTCACGCGTTCATCCACTGGCTGGAGATGCGTTCTCCTGGAGGATCAAGGAACGATTAGCCCAACTATCCGTACCACGAGGTACCAGGCCAGCAGCCCTTCCCCTCCTCCTCTACCTCAGTCAAATGGATCAGAAAGGCAGGGAGAAACACCAGCCTGCAGGAGCCTCAGGAAAAAACCTACCCTTTTTTCCCCACTTTTTTCCTCGATTCCACAGGGGTGGGAGGAGGTGGGGGCGAAGGAGAGGCCTTTCTCTTCCGGGCGCTGGCAGCTGCCTTCCTATCTCGCCGCTCGGGGCTGCGGACCGGCTGTTAAAAGAGGAGAGATCATCAGCACCCGTTGCCCATGTCTAATCCAGCTGCTCCTTATCAGGTCCCGCATGATGCTCCCAGTGGTACAAGAGCTGAGATGAGGCCGCTGGGCTCCCCCTTCTTTTCTTCTGGAAACTGACAGCTCCTTATCTCTCTTCCCACCCCACTGTCCCTGAGACTATGAATCAGAACGTGGTGAGATTTTACCAAATCCTTCTTTACAACTTCAAGTTACTGGCTTTATGTGACATTTCTCAAAACTCCGCTGTCCGGGACAGTGGATACTTATTTCATTTCCATCTTAGCTTTCTCCTCAAGCGACACTCCTTAGTTGTCACTTCCGTTCCAATTCCTCAGGAGACTTCTACTAAGCTACCTTTTGCCGGTGCTTCCAAGCAGTTCAAAGAGCTAAAGAACATTTTGAAACGGCTCCAAGCCACTACCAGTTCTTTAGTATCATCTGAGAAAGCTGACTTCGTACCATTTAAACTCTCAAGACGGCTACAGCTATAGTGATTTGAGTCTCCATTTAACCCCCACGTTGCTCTTCTCAAATATCACTCTTTCAGCCCAAACTCTGACGCAGGCATGCAGGTCCTGACTAAAAGAGTATCTAAGATCAGGACCAGGGGCTGCTCTGGGCTGGGAGTAAGAGGGGCATGTCGCAGGCACTGCCGTGAGCTCTAGAAGGAAGCCAGACGCAAGGAATTGTGACTTTCCCAGATCAGCATTTGCAACTCCAAAATGTGTCCAGAAGCAGGACTGTTTGAGGCTTCCAAGTAATCCGCACCCAATCTTTCAACACTCTCCTGGCAAACACCCTCTCAAATGAGCACAGACAAAGAGCACATCAGGGAGAAAGGAGGGGCCAAATCTCTGCGGGAGAAACTGCTGACAGCCAGCACTGACCGCACGAAAAAAACCACGGAGCCAAAGGCACCCAAGCAGAGAGACACCGACAGGTACAGCAGTTGGGTCCACACTCCGAAGCACTTCAGATCTGAAGCGCTACACACCCCTAGTCAACACAACCGACTCTAAACCTGCCCAGTTTCAGCTGCGCTCCAAGTTGCTCCCTGAAATCCTGGGGGACCTTGAAGCGTTATAGGTTTGAATTAGCCTAGAAATCCCAGCTAATATTGTGATTCAGCAGCCCATCCACCCCAAGAAGCAGGAAACGCTTACTTCTTCATTTCTCAGGTAGATCCGCTGGCGAAAGCTGACTGGCTTCTTGGTCTCATCCACCTCATAATCTTCTTCGTTCATCCATTCGTTGAACACATCCATGTCCAGGATCCATCTGGCATGGACCTACCAAAGGAACAACATCTTCAGAATGATCTTCTCATGCCAACGTTGCCACATAGAGTGGGTGAATTTCATAGGGAATTTCCGCTGATTTAGAAAAAAAACTCTACATTTTAAGCCCGTTTTATTAATGCATACAGAAAGCCACATGCAAGTTATTTTTGACTTCCACCTTAGTGCTGCCTCTCCCTTGTGCTTCCTTCTGCTACCTATTCTATTCCTCCTCCTGTCTCTCTATTCTGCCCTGCTTCTCAAAAAAGCTTCCCTTCATTCAAAAATTAAGCAACTCTCAATTTTATGTATTTATTTTTAAATTTGTATGCCACCCGGTTCCCGACGACTCTGGGTGGCTCACAAATAAAAACATTAAAAACAGATACAAACAGAAACAAAAATAAGGAATAAAGATAGCAAGATGACAAAAACCAGACTGGTATGGAATAAAGAATCCAAGGGGATTTCACTCACCCTTGCTATAGAGCTCAATCAAGCATTCCCACACATATTTTTCTTTCTTTTTTTTGGTGCCTTCAAGTCAGTGTGGACTCCTGGCAACTGCCCGGACTAGTCCCTGCAAGATTTTCTTGGCAAGATTTTGGAAGTGGTTTGCCCTGGCCTCCTTTGTCCTAGGGCTGAGAGAGAGGGACTGGCCCAAGTTCACCCAGCTGGCTTTGTGCCCAAAGCAGGATCAGAACTTAGAATCTCTTTGAACACTTGTTTATTGCCAACCTTTTTTTTTAAAAAAAGGTCTGACTTACTAGCATCTGTATTCTAGCAAAGGAGAAATGTTGGAAGAATCCTGAGAACTTGGTTAAAGTCCCTACAATAGCCACTCCGCGCAGCTCTTGCTGGAACTAAATAAATGACAAATGGCAGCAGCAGCAGCGAGCTGGCTGAGGTTGAAAAATATCTGCTTTTTGATTTGTTCCTCATCCATCAGAACTTTCTTAATACCAAGGACCACTTCTGGCCCTGGTGCTTTGGGTTTTGGAAGTGCTTCGTGGCGCTTGGCACCAAGAACAGTGAAGGTGCCAGAAGAATTTTCTGAGGGACAAAGAACAAATCAAAAAGCAAATTCAGTTACAAGATGGAGCCTCCAGGGCTTACAAACAATCTTTCGGGACCAATCTGGGAAGGGGCAACTCTGGCTTAGGCTGCAGCTGGTTCCAGTGGTAGGATCCTGTTTTACAGTGCTCAGATTCCCAGAAAGATGCGACCATGCAATAACCTGAAGACACTGAAGAACTAAGGCTTATCAGGAAATATCTACCTACTTTGCTCCATAAAGAGCATTTATGGTCCCTGACATCTACAAAGGCCCTTCAGAGGACTCCTCACCTCTGCCCATATTTTGGAGACAGAAATCTGGGAGATGACCTACTCTGAAAAGAGACGGGGAGGACCTCAGACAGGACCAGAGGAGATTGGAGAATAAATTTGGGGACATCTTAATTCCAGTTGGCTTATACAAGGTTAATGTTTGTGTAGCAGTCAGAAATTTTCTTCTCTGCACCTTCTGAGTTAGCTGTCAACTACTCATTAAACATGAGGGACAGGTGATACTATAAGCAGAAAATATTGGTTGAGATGTTTTGCGCAAAGCTCTCGATGCAAATTCAGGGGATCAAAACCAAAAACAGAGTCTTCCACTTAAGGATGTCTCAGAAAGCAGATATTTGGCAGCATTGAACTTTTCATGGGTATAAAAAAATAATGAAATAGAAACCCCCTGCTACCAATCAGATGAAAGCTGTTTGGGATGGAACAGTGGGAAGCAGTAGAAGTAGCAGAGAAACCACCGGGAGACTCAGAATGACCCAGGGGAACCCAGAGATGAAAAAACATCTCCTGACACCAGGAGGCCAGGGTGTGATTTGAGATTACATCAGGAGGTCAGGAGGCTAGAGGAGACTGCATAGATAAGGAAGGGGAAGTACCGTTCACATGCCTGAGCCCGTGCATGGGAAGAACTGCATGTGCTCTGCAAAGGACTGCATGAATTCACAGGAATCATGCGGGTATCAATAAGGAGGTTTAATGCAAGAATTAGAGGTAAGAGACAGAATCTTGGAAACCGCAACAGGAGCCCCCACCCCTTTGTACAGGTAGTCCTTGATTTACAAGCATTTGTTTAACAACCGTTCGAAGTTATGACAGTGCTGAAAAAAGTGACTTACGACCAGTCCTCACAATTACAACCATTGCAGCATCCCCACGGTCATGTGAACAAAATCTGGATGCTTGGCAACCAGCATGTATTTAGGACGGTTGCAGGGTCCTAGGGTCACGTGATAGCCATTTGCAAACTTCCCAGGGGACTTCCAACAAGCAGTCAATGAGGGAAGCTGAATTCGCTTAATGACCACGGCAAAAAAGGTTGTAAAATCTGGTGCAACTCACTTAACGACCACATTGCTTAGCAACAGAAGTTCCGGTCCCAATTATGGTCCTAAGTCAAGGACTACCTGTATTAGTAAGTTCATTAAGGCAGAATCTTTTTGAACATTCTGAAACTCTTCTTCCTGCCTGGACCGAGCTGCCATTTATAAGATAAGCTGCTAACAAACTCCTCTCTCGTCACTTGATGGTTTGTGCCCAGAGTTCCTCCCAGTTCTTTCTCCATCTCCTCACCATGTCTCATTAGTGAGATGAACAGGGCAGATTGTGGCTTCAGGGAAGAAATGCAGTATACAATTTCGCATTGTTAGGGAAGGAAAGCTGACTTATGCTTTAATTAGGGAACGACCCACTTCCAACCAGCCAACTTTTCTCTCCTAACTCCCATGTAGTTTTTGCAACAGCAACTATGCAGCATAGTTAAGCACCCTTTGATTTTATTTCTTTCTGTGCTTTATCCAAATAAGGCCCCATTTTTAGTGGGCTGCTTGAATCATGCCTTTGTCTGTCCTAGGGCACTCTGCAGAGTGAAAAAGAGAAAATGGTAGTCTCTGGTGGCAAAAAGATGACATTTTAAATCAGAAAAAAAAACTCACTCCCCCATGGGCCCAGAAAATAAGAGGCAGCTGTCGCAAGCCCCCCGTCTGCCTCTGGAAATGCTGTGCTGAGAAGACATCCAAGGAAGGCTTTCAGTTCAGAGGTACAAGCCCAATGGGTTTTGTTCCCCCTATCTCTATGGGGATGCCCCACTACGTTCAGCCCAGGGTCCATGCACCCTATGGCAACCAACATCCAGCCCAAGGCTCTTCTGAGAACAACCTGCTGAGAGTAAACTGTCCCTGGGTTGGCTCCAAAGAAGTTTGCAGGCAGAGTCCACAGTACTTGCAAGCCAAAGGCATCGCTCCATTTGTCAAAAGCAGCAGAAAAGCCCCCATTTTGGCCTTCCCCCAAGCTGGAGCCCCCCAAGTCTACTGGAATCACAGTCTCCAGAACTCTCGGCCAGCCTGGGCACAGAGCTGGTCAGTCCCGTTGTTCTGGCTATCAGAGCTATTATGTACAGGGGTTTTGCTAGTGGCATCCCAAGGAAAATCTTGCCAAGATATCTCCTTGCTTAAGCTTTGCTGTGTCCACTTTATTTTCTAAGGTCTTCCACAAAATGACATAGGCCAACCTTAACAGCCTCTACCTACTACTCTTTTACACAGCACACATCCCTGGTCAGCACAGTAGAAAAAAGGGAGGTGTAGCCTGATGCATCAGGAAACTTCATTCTAAGTCTGACGCTTGACATCTTTTTTCTGTACTGAACGTGTGAAACCATAAGCTGAATTTTTCCAAGGAGCGTTACACCTGAGGATGGAAATTTATGAAAAGCTGTTATTTCTCAGCAATGCTACAAAGAGGTGATTCGCACCTTCCATGGCTTTTCGGGAATTGGAGGGTCTTCAATTTCCGCTTCTATTTCAGTAGCGTGAACCCACGTGTCGTAGCTTAAAGGCAAAAGCAAAGAGGTGAATGGATCTTTTCAGCTGCTCAGACAGGACAGCCCTGGTGCAAGAGACACAGGAAGCAATTGAGTATCATTTGCTAGTCTGTCCTTCGAAAGGAACACTCCGTCACTGGGTTAGTTCACATAGCAAACTGGAGCCACAGGCGCAAATTTACACTCATGTCTTCAAAAGGAGGTATATATTTAATATGCCCAGTATCCAAAGAATGAACTCCGAATAAACCAGTTTGCATGAAAACCAGGGATTAATCTGAAATAAACTGAAATCCAATGCCAATTCACGTACTGTGAGGTATTCTTTGAAAGATGTGATTAAATATCTAAGAAAGGACAAATGTTCTGACACAGGGGCATTCATGGCTTGGGGAGGGTTAAAAAAAATCAAGATGGAACCTATAACCATGTGATCAAGGCCCTCATCCATTTGACATGTGTTATGTGCACAATGCATGTAAAAAGCGGGTGGGATTTCAGCCACAGTTACTATCTTGATTTTTCTGATACCCTCCCCGCCAACTCCACATTCTGTCATAAAGCGTTCCAGGTACAACATGAACGCTTCTGAAGGTTCTGACCTGGAAGTGGCCCCTTTCAAAGCCTGCAACTTCTGGAGTGCAAACAATCCATTTTGAATACAGTCAGAATGTTCTGCACCCTTCTATTAAAAAGCCCAGGAAAACAGTCACAGTATTATCTGGACATCCAAAGCCGGAAGACTAATCTAGTCATGGCTTGGGTCTAAACTGTGATTAGTGAGCCAATAG